TGATATGTCAGTACAACGTTAACGGATTGAGTTTAATTATACTGTTAAGATCATGTACACCGTGTAACCATGCCAGAGGCCACAAGGTGTCTAAGAGCAGGAGGTCAAGTGGGACAGTAGTGAAGTTATTAACAACACCGCCGTTACGCCGTTAGTCCCCGGAGATCGAGAGTATAGAAGGGAGGAGCTAATAGCAGCCAAGTCGGAGCGGCGGTATTGCCGGTGACGAGGAGCGAACCAAAGAATGTCTAAGTCCTAAGGTTATAGTAGAGAGTATTTCAAGGCGATGAGCCTAAAGACTTAGAGGAGAACTAGATCAAAGAGGGAATCTAAGTTGATAATTAAACTGAGGAACTACAGTAGCGTACAGGCAGTATTTATATCTACGGATTGGCGCGTCGGTGCGGAGCACTAGACTAACTACTAGGAGTTATACGAGTAGTACCTGCAGGGTAGAGTAAAAGACAATAAGGAGGGACTAGAATGAAAGGGTATGTGTAGTGAGAAAGAACAACAATAAATGATGGATCTTCGGAATATCGTCGAGGTATTCCATCAGCAACAGAAACACGTTCCACAGGTGACTGATGATATCTTCAAAAGACATAGATTTCTTCAACATGAAGAGCAGATCATGAGGCCTCTGAGACTGTGCTCCTAAACCACTCTGAACAAGTTTGTTGTAGAGCCTGGAGGTAAGTTTCACCAAGGAAGAACCACCTTTGATGGAAAAGTACTGATCATCTAGAGCTAGTCTACTTCAACTTCTCTGGTAAGGCATTATCAGAAACAGTAGATTTGAAAAAAAAAGTAGAGCTTACAACCAACTGCATTCCCGCAGTCAGAATGTAAAAAGCACCAACTTGAAAAGAGTCGTTGTCAATGCTTTCAGCCTATTTAAACAAATAGTCAGAAATTTTTAGCCTAGAATTTTCTATGGTTACCTCTTGAGTCTTTATGGATTTTTTGCTTTTGAGTCCGTCCGAAGCTTCCTGAGTGCTAGCCAACATAGACTTGATGACCATGCTATTGGGCCTGGTTGATGATTGCTGCTGGATTTCTGTTGCCACATTCAGGACTCAGTTGATTTTTGCCTTGTCATGTTCTGCTTTTATAGACTGAGAAGCTGGAGCAGAAAAAGCTGGAGAGACAGGCGCTTGAGTATGAGAAGATGAACAACTGAATTGAGAAGATTTAGAATGAATGGATTTTTTGAGCTTTTCCTTTGTAGAAACCTTGTTTGCACGTCGAAAGGGCCCACTCATGGTGGAGAGAAATAAGGCTGCAAGTACTTTCAAACTTGTACTTCAAGTGACTTGCGCGTGATTTTTGTGGGCATTGGGTGTTAAACCAGGGAAATTCATATCAATACTATTTTCCATTAACTGTTGAAGAGAAAAAGATAGTATGATCTAAGTATTGGAAAATAGTAAATGGTTCATGATATGTGGATATTGGCCCCATTGAATGGCTCTAGGAAACCAGATGGTATAAGAAAGGTCAATATGGAGTTCCTTTGTACCACGTCTACCTGATGGGATAATTTCAAAGGTAGGATAATCACGATTTTCCCATTCCTCTGATCTAAGGTAATAATTGACCAGGATTACCTTAGCATAATCAAACTCTTCAATTGCCTCACAGAAAAGCCAGAGCTTGTCTGGCCTGCCCAAAAATGGTGAATTATGCTTCGGTGTAGGCACAGGCTCATGGCGATAATGCTTGGACTGCTCTTTTTTGAATTTGTTGTATAGTTGACTGTTTCACCTATAGGTCTGCAGAGGAAGGGTTAGGTATTCCATATTGACTGTGTTCAAGTTCTCCAAAAAATCAAATATCCTGATATCAGAAATTTAGTGATTTCAGAGATGCAAAAAAAGACAGGCTCACATTGGGGGTTTGGTAGTGACTGTGGCCAGAAATAGGATGATCATTCCAAGTTGAAGTGAATTTTTGACAATCCTCATTGATGAGAGGGAGGAAAAGAGTATATAGAAGCCAAATATGATGGGGATCTTCTCTTAGTAGGCCGTGGAGGCGTTCAAGCCTAAGAAAGAAAGCACGCCATTGTCGAGCAAACTGAGAGCCTACTTCAGGCCAAAGTCTCTCAATCCAGGTATTCCAGGTGGAATCTCCCCACATGGTGCTAGCATGATTATGCCCTCAGAGATAGACCATTAAAGTTGCTACCTCAATATTCTCCCCACCTCGGTCTAAGTGCACACAAGAGGGAACACCATACTGCCTTGTAGCCTCAGTGAAAAGATCTAAAACTGTGCTGGCCTTGTTATTGGAACTTGCTTGCAGGCCCACAACCTAATAAATTTCAATTAGAGATGAATGAAATAAAAAGAAAAAGTTGCTAACTGTCCGACTGTAACCGTCAACTATGCCGTGTATAACAATTCCCCAGAATATTAATTTATGGTGACCATCTAAGTGCCACAAGGCATGAGAGCATGGGACTTTATAAACTCCTCTAGCTATTGTAAGTCTTCTCCGGAGACAGGAACCCAAACAATCCACATGTTTTAGTGAATCTTTCACCCACTGTCTTTGAAGCTTATAACCTTTTTGCTGCAAATATCCCATGACGTATTCCAGGCCAGAAGCTGGGTTAGTCTCCTTGAAAGTCTTTGTTAAGTGATCCAAATCCCCATTAGTAACAGTGCATTAGTTGTAGTCAATTCTATTCTCTTTAAGGCATGATCTAAGAGTCTGTTGATGAATTCCCAAGCTTTTAGCCAGCCATGTAAGAGAGATCCTTCTTTCTCCCTTTGTAGCCTCTTGCAAAAATTGCGGCGCTATGAGTTTATGTGGTCTCCCTGTTAAGATCATGTACACCATGAAGCTGTGCCAGAGTCCACAAGGTGTCTAAGGGCAGAAGGTCGAGTGGGACAGTAGTGAAGTTATTAACAACACCGCCATTACGCCGCTAGTCCCCGGAGATTGAAAGTAGAGAAGGAGAGAGCCAGAGGCAGCCAAGTTGGAGTGTATCATGCCTCGCCCCGAATCGCATAACCCACAAGCTCCCCAACCTAGTTCCCAACTAGTTCCCAGCCTCCCCAACCTCCTCCTTTGGACCACAATATCCCCCACCTCTTAATTAACCTCCCAGAAATCCCCCATGAACCATGGAAACCTAGTCAACCTCCCGACCTGAAGCAACAGTCTCAAGACTCACATACGCCATCAGACCATCCCCTATCAATTTAGCCTCATGGGCTCCGCACTTCATGCCATCCCCATTAGATGCTCATTTACTACAATGTCCCTTTACCTATTCATCCCACCTATATAAGTATCCTTGGTAACATAAACACGCCCAGCTTGGTATATTTTGAACACACACCCTTTTGCATAGGTCCAGTCCCTGTCCCTTTGTACCTGCTACCTATACAGATTTCTCTTTACTCTCAGTTTCTCTATCTCAGTTTCTCTCTACTCTTGTCTGTTGTCTCTCCGATTGTCTATACGATCCAACATACGCTTTTACTTCAAGTCTAAGCCATCTGAGTGAGTCTCCGAGCTCCCTCAAACAATACTAAAGCTCCCCAACCCCTAAATGCTTTGGTGAGCTACCCTCCCCCAAATCTCCTCGAGCTCCCTAGCTACTCCATAGGCTTCGGGACCTCGATCTAGGTAATGTCGAAGCTACCTCTTACGTCAAACTACGTACCGCTTCTCCATTACAACCTCCAACACTTGAGGATGTCCACCCTCAAGCCCAGTCCCCGGGGACCTACCCTCCCAGGCGTATACCTTCTCAGGAGCTTACACACTCGAGACCCATCTCCACTACGACCTATTCGATCTTACGTTGACGTTCTAGCGAGTAAAACTCCTACTACGCAATACTACTAGGTCCCGTACTTCTACCTAACCTCCCTACACTTTAGGGACCTCCCTGGACCTTATAGGAACCCCTTCAAGGGTCATATCTCTTCATCCCAGCCACTAATAGGTCATTTCTATCCACGGTCGCAGTTCCCATAGCTCCCTTCAAGCTCCAGCCTGCTCCTAGCATGCTACAACATAAACTCTTTCATACCAAACCCTACCTTAAGACCTATTCTAACCCAGGTCTTACAGAGTGGCAGTATTGCCAATGACAAGGAGCGAACCAAAGGACTTGTAAGTCCTGAGGTAAAGGGATAGGGCAGGGATAGGGCAGGGATAGGGCAGGGGATAGAGTAGAGTGTACTTCAAGGCGATGAGCCTGAAGACTAGAGAGAGACAAGAGATCAGAGGTAGTCTCAAGTCAAGGATGTAAAGAGGATAATCTAAGTTGATAATTAAACTGAGGGACTACAGTAGAGTACAGGTAGTATTTATAACTCCAGATTGGCATATCAGAGCAGAGCGCCAGACTAACTACTAGGAGCTATACATGTAGTACCTGCAGGGTAGAGAATAAGACAATAAGGAGAGACTAAGTAGAAAGGGAATGTGTAGTGAGAAAGAACAATAAGAACAAGATCACAATAAACGGTGGATCTTGGAGTACCGAGCAGTGGAGTAGGGCACTGAAGCATGGACTTGACACTCCCTCTTTTCCCAGTTCTAGATAATAACACAGGTTCTAGAAAATATTCAATAAATCCTACTCAGAAAGAAAAGGAAAGAAAATAGCTCACGTTCCTTCCACACTTTCTTTGGCTTCCCTGAGCTGCCAAAGAAGACCTCCAAACTTTTGACTGACCATATTGAGCCAATCAAGAGACAGATGTTCTTCTTCAGCGCAGTTTTCCATGTCAAGCAATAGAGGAACAGCCTCTTGAGTTATGGCATTTTCATGGTAGAGCAAATGGTGAGTGTCTATTCCACCTGAGAGAGATGCTGATCCTCTAGAGTAAATATGCTCCAATAGGCTCAAAGCATGGTATATTTGAGGCAAGTAAGGTGGGTCATGAACAGGAAGTTGAGGAAGGAAAGTCATTGCAGTTATGGTATAGAGGAAAGTAGCGTAAATTAATTACATGTTTATATCAACGTTACTTCTATAAAACAAAATTGTTTTGTCCCCAACCATTACTGTCTAACTTATAAGATTCCCCATCGATATCTGAGTGAAGAACAAGTGAAGATCTGATACCCCAATAGTGAAGATTGAAATGTGTGTAGACTTTGGAAGGAAAAACTATAAAGTCTCCATTGGACATTTCCAGAACCAGCCTAGGCTCAAAAAGGCAGAGTTCACCTCCTTTGCACAGGCTGATAACTAACACCACACAACCTTTTCTATCTTTGGTATCTTTATGAGCTAAGGTAGCACAATTGAGATTGATAACCATGCTTTGGAATGGGCGCCCAGGGGTGGAGTCATAAAAAGGAACTATGTTGATTTCCCCTTGCATGCTCTGGAAGAAATTGGGATGTCTAAGAAGAGCCTGATGAACGAGACTCAGTCTTAGTTACACTATGAACAGATAAAAGGAGATACTGTACCTTATCTGCTATTTGCTCTATAGCATCTTCCAATGCAGTACACAAAAGGTCGTAGGCTTCAGGATATTTTTTCATATCTGCAGAGGCATAAACATGAAATTGAGATGTGTTGGTTTTTTTGTCTTCAGTGCGTCTAAGAAGGAGGGGGTGAACATCTGTAGGAGCGTTCTTGCCCTATGCAAAAGTCAGCAGTTGATCAAAACCCTCACTGGATACACTTACACTAACACTGTATTTTGCAAAGAAGGAAAAATGTAAAGCCGTAAAAGCTGAATTGGAAGTAGAGTTTGTATCCTTCAACTGAACTCCTGTCATTGTAATGCTAGCAGCCTCACACCAAGCCCGCAAACTGTTAAGCAAATTATTCCGGATTTCATGACTAAGAGTTCTGTCAATATGGAACATCAGTTTACCATCCTGATCCTGAACGTTAATCTCTTGTCTGCTCCCTGTTCTTTAGCTTTATGAACCTGGGTAGATTTAACTCCTTACCCTGAAATAAGGTTTTGGGGAATCTTGAGCCATTTCTGATTTTTTCTGGTTTTTCTGTTGTACCTATCCAATAACTGACCTCCAATCACCATCCACTGTGTACCCTCGGTCGGATGAAATTCATCCTTGTAATAGCCCGCATACCAGTCATATCTCATTCGGGTTAATGATGAAAAAATACAGGTATACGGATGATACTCGAGAATGACACCAGGGTGAAAATACAGATGAATAATGTCCGACATTCATCCTGGCATTCATCCGCAAACCTATTCACCATGAACACATGATACGAGTGAAAATATTGTAGAAATTGGCAGTACACGGGCAGTTACATATCTATACAGTACACTATAAATGGTTAATAAACGTGCTTCGCTCAATACTCGTCATTGTCACTGTTGTCGTCAATAACATCACCGGGACCTCGCTCATACCGAAATCCATCATCATCATCTTCCTCCTCCTCCTCCTCCTCCTCCTCCTCCTCCTCCTCCTCTTTCTCCTCATCACTTTCTCCTTCAATGTGGATTTCTGCTTGTGTGTCAACGTAATGGGTGTAAGGTCGAACCCGTTTGCCCTTGGTCTTCCTGGTCTCGTAGCGACGGACATAGCTGATATTACTTTTCAAAGCAGCACGGGAAGCCCAGTATCCGGGGAAGCGATTCTTCGTTAGATAAGGCTGCTCCTTCACGAGCTGCATGAGAGGTAAAAGTTAGTGATTGATGCTGATAACACATGAACACACGGTCACACCAGCTTGCAAAAGTTAGCGATGACTTCAGGAAGTTGCTGGGAGAATGGGACACTGTAGTCGACGTGGCAGCGAATGACAGTTGACCTAACAGTGCTCTGTGGGATGTGGAATGTGGAATATGAGAACAGTGAACAGTTATCGAAAGATTGCGTACCCGAAATGTGGAGTAGTCTTTGCTATCATTTAGCTGCATAGCTTCCCGAAGCTTGTACCCACCTCTGCCTGGTTCTGAAAGTTGACCCTCAGGCTTGCAGATGACATCTTCAGGAGAGCATTTCGTATCTGTAACATTCTTGATAAAATATTTGCTGTGATTGACGTTGTTGGTAGTCTTGATTGCGTCAGTAGCTTTGGCGCCTTCATATCTAGCAGCGACGCGGACCTTCTCATCATGTGCTATGTTCTCTGCAGATATAACTCTTCGGTTACATGTTTAGTGAAGAAAAAAAGTCACATACTGCGTCCACGATGAATGTGAGCATCAACTTCTTCCTCATACAACGCCGATGTGTCACCATTATGAATACGGTATTCGAGTTCATCAGCACGACGACGGAGCTCATCAATGGAGGCACGGTACTTGTTCAGAACGACAGTCTCAGCATTCTTGCCTTTGCGTGAGTACGGACGTGGTCCTAATCAAAGTAGAGTGAGGAACTTAACATATCATGCGATCTCAATACATACCTGGGACAAATGGATTGTCATTGACAACAACGGGTACAGCGGGAGCCTCGGAGACTGCTACTGCAATGTCCTTGTCCTTATTATTCACACCTGGCATAATTACTGGAGCATCAGATAGAGATTCTCGATGGAAAATACATTCTCATGCTTACACTTACGTGGTGCCTTGCCATCTGCCTTCCTGTCCTTGCGTTTTCCGACAGATACAGCCTTCATACTATTGTTCTCTTTGTTAGAGGGTGCGTCAGATTCTGTAGAGATCGCAATGAGTCAAGATATCAGTCAAGTGAACTCCCACTCACCCATCAAGATAACATCTCCACGACTGGCAGTAGCTATCTCGAGCTGCTCATTGGTACAAACAGTTGCTTTCGTGTTCTTAGTCTTTGTCTTTGCTGCATCACGAGTCTTGAGGACTTTTGAATTGGTAGCTGCACGAGTGGGGTCGATAGCTTTGTTACGGGCACTAGCACTGACTTTGGATTTGGGCATGATGATAGAGGTGAAGAAAGAGGTGAACCTAGGGGGTTCAAGCATTGATATACTGTGCATTGCTATCAACGATCGAGTTCAACATGGAAGGCCGCCGGATACGCGTTTGACTGCACGTGAGGTACACGTCAGGACTTAGGCACCTGATTATTCTCTGTCCGTCTCCTCCATCTTCAACCCTCTCGGCTTTGACCATCTTAGCTTCCACTGCCCATAGTGCTCAGCACTTTTGCAACTCAAAAAGTGGATACAGCTTGCTTTTCAAAGGATTGGTTTCTCTACAATGAACTGCCCACCTCAAAAATGGGCACGGCCTGAAATATGGCGCGGCGTGTCCGGAACCAGTTGTAGAGAAGCTCAATAACTTGAAACCTTTTTAACCTCCGTCCAAACAACATTTCTCTTTGCAACCCATCGTCCCAATACAAGATACCCAGGCGAATTTTATGCGATGGATTTCGGTACTGCTAACCTGGAATTACTGTCCAGATTCTATGCAAAATACCCGGACTATGCAGACAAAACATTCCTCTCTGTGAAAGGTGGTGTTCGTAATGGAGGCCCTGATGGCTCGTGCGTATATTTGGTCTGGATATTTGCTTCAAGCTCTAACATTTGACTCCCAGCATGGAATGCTTGAGATACGTCTACGGCAAGCCATCAAGAAAGTTTATGACCCTCAGCTGCACCGTGATTTGGATGTTGAGAAGGAAATTCTTGTAACGAGCGGCGCTAATGAAGGTGGAAACTTTGTCCAACTCTCCAACATTCGATTGAAATTGATAATATTCTAGGTCAACACCCAGCGCTCACCGCTTTCCTGGAACAAGGGGATGAAGTCATAATGTTTGAACCTTTTTTCGACCAGTACCTGGCTTCGGTCACGTTCAACGGTGGCGTTCCCATCTATGTTCCTCTGCATTCTCCTGCCAACGCCTCTGGGAAGTTCTCGAGTGATGAATGGAAGATAGATCCCAAGGAACTTCGGTGATATCGATTACGACTTGCTTCAGCTGGCTGCTTTCTAACACATGCTGTTAGAGCCGCTATTACCCCGCGCACGAAGATGATCATCGTCAACACCCCGCACAATCCTGTTGGAAAGGTTTTCACCAGGGCAGAATTAGAAATGATTGCCTCCCTTGCTAAGGAACACAATTTGTTGGTCATGGCAGATGAAGTGGTATGTGTTTGTGCGCTTCTGTTCTTTGATAAATTCAGTAAACCATCAAATCTAGTATGACACTCTTGTGTTCGATGGAAAAGAACATGTCCGAATTGCAACCCTTCCAGGGATGTGGGACTGCACCGTAACGGTTGGGTCTGCAGGAAGTACGTCTCCAAATGATGCCTCGCTTTTTCCCTATTTCCTTGCTAACACTTACCCACAGAAAGCTTCGCCGCGACTGGCTGGCGTGTCGGTTGGCTTATCGGTCCAGAATATATCATCAGGCCGACGCTAGCAGCCTCGACGCGTATTGTCTTTTGCTCTAACTCTCCGTTACAAGAAGCTGCTGCTGCAGGCCTTGAGCAAGTGCAAGAATGCAAATTCTTTCAGACTCAGACAGCAGAATATGCTGAACGACGAAAAGTCTTGACAGATTGCTTTGACACACTTGGGCTTTCGTACACCAATCCGGAAGGGAGTTACTTCATTCTTCTGGTGAGTTTTGACAAATTTTGCGCTGTCGTTATCTCAGGCGGTACTTTATAACTATCTAGGATATCTCCAGGGTGGAATTTCCTGATGACTATGCCTTCCCTCAGAGTGTGCTTGGAAGAGGTCGAGACTTCAAGTAAGTCTAGTGTCAGGTTAAATTGTTACAATACACTCAATATCTTATCTTCATACAGAGCTTGTTGGTTCATCGCTCTCGAAGTGGGTGTTTCATCCATCCCAGTTAGCGAGGTGTGTTCCATTATTTGCCGGCCAGTGTCGATAAGTTTCAAAGCGCTCTCGGACTCAACAAGAAACTCAATCTCTTCGAACCCGCTCGCATTGACTGCAAAACTCCTCTCGAAACCATCATGAACAACCTGGTCACCCTTGTCAAGGAAGGCAAATTCTTGCACATCGGTCTTTCGGAGTGTAATGCAAACACTTTGCGGAAAGCTAACGAGGTAAGCTGTCGTCATGTGTAGTTCGTTTTTCTTCGATTGAGAGATATTGCACTAGATCTATCCTATAACCGCGGCCGAGATCGAAGTCAGTCCATGGTCCTACGACCATAATCAGAAGGCAGTTATTTCTACTGCACGCGAACTGAACATCACTGTTGTCGCATATTCACCTTTGGGACGAGGCTATCTGACTGGTCTGATCAAATCTACCAGCGACCTTCCCTATCACTCCCTTTGCTCACAAACCGTGCTATCCAGAGGGTGATATTCGCTCTCGTTTGACACGATTCAAGGAGGAAAACTTCAAGGCCAACTGGGCTATAGTCGAGGGTTTGCAAGTTATTGCCAAGAAGAAAGGTGTTACTCCCGCACAATTGAGTATAGCTTGGGTTGCTTTGCTTGGACCACACATGCTACCGCGTCCAGGATCCTCGTAAGTTCACTCAACCTTTTCATCTTCTTTGTTCGATTCAATGTTATTTCCTCTTGCAGGAAAGCTTCCCGCACTCTCGAGAATCTGAAGGCTGGAGCTCTTGAACTCACTGCTGAAGAATCGAAAGCTATCGACGAGGTGATCACCACCAATCTTGTGTTCGGTGATAGGTACTTCGGTTCAGACGAACAGGATTCTGTAGTACTTAGCGGGTTTGAATATAACAATCCATGGAACTTTTTCGATGTGCTTATCTCATCTTGTTTGTGCCTGTTCTCCATTACGCTCATGTCATCGAGAAAGCGATTTCGCCCATCTACCCAACGTACACTCTGTCCTTGCGGATGTGAAAAGACCTTGAGCCGGAAACAACAGCGTCGACACCTTGATGCTCGTGTTCTACCTGCACTTGCTCAGGGGCCTATCGGGTCACTTGATTCTGAGTCTGAGCAGGAGCTTGACTTATCCTCTGAGTCCGAGGCTGAAGCCACCATCAGTAATCAAACAACGATATCATTCTCATCTCTATCACAATCATTGAATGTACCATCGCCTAATCTGCCTTCACCTGCTCATTCCAATGCAGATTCCGTTGCTCCTCTTGGAGTTCAGGTAGATCCTCTTCAACATGTGTCAGATCCCATGGCAGTCTGCAGTGATGAAGACGAGGACGAGGAAGATATTGAACATGACTATGCCCTAGACCAGGAGTATGGTGTCAAGTGGACTGGAGAGGAGCCCGAGTTCTCTGATTCAGAAGGCAAAGATGACGAGGATGGGGAAGGGCTTGAGAAGGAGCTCAATGAGTTGTTTGAGCAAGAGTTAGCAGAATTTGGTGAACTATTATTCTGATTCTGACTTCGGAATCTGGAATGCTAACTATATTCTCTATGATAGGTGAGGAGATAACTGATGAGGAACTTGCCCTTCTCCGTCATTTTGCATTGAAGGTTGAGACTCATATGTCTAATGATACCTTTGCTGCACTGGCCGCTACATTTCCAAATGACCCTCCTGCATCATGGAAAGTCACCAAAAAGCGTGCAGAGTGGCTTGCTCGATTGCGACCTGTGATCTACGAGTGCTGCATCAACTCCTGTGTATGTTACATGGGCCCACATGCTGACAAAAAACAATGTCCTCATTGTAAAGAGTTCCGCTATCGACCAGATGGGAAGACACCACGTAAACGGTTCACATATGTCCCTATCATTCCCCGCTTGACTGCCTATTATCGTAGTCTATCGATGATAGAAAAACTCCGTTATCGTACAACATTTCAACCAACCAATGGAGAGGTCCACGATGTGTTCGACTGTCGTCATTATCAGCAGTTAAAGTGTCGTAATGTCAAAGTCAAGGGGCAGGAAATACCTTACCAATATTTTGCGGATTCCCATGATATTGCACTGGGACTTTCATCAGATGGATTTGCTCCCTGGCGACGTCGGACAAAGACTTGCTGGCCACTTATCTTGTACAACTATAATCTTCCTCCGGAGATTCGCTTTCACCTAGAGTACATTCTGTGTGTGGGTGTTATTCCAGGTCCAAAGAAGCCCAAGGATTTTGATTCTTTTCTCTGGCCTCTTGTGGAGGAGCTTCTCGAACTTGCCTCAGGTGTCCCTGCTTTTGATAGCAAATCAAAAACGACCTTCATACTCCGGTCATTCCTCATCCTTGTTTTTGGTGACATTCCAGCTATCTCGATGGTCATGAAGATGAAGGGTCATAATGGTGTGTGCCCATGTCGTATGTGCAACATCAAAGGAGTGGCTACCATTCATGGGAAAAAAACATATTATGTTCCCTTAGATCGGTCCAGACATCCTACTGTTCTAAACAACCCTACTCTTGTGAAGAAGTATGACCCACTTAATCTTCCACTCCGTTCTCACGATGAGATGTGCACGCAGGCAAAAGAAGTCGTGTTTGAAGCTCCGACACGCTCTAAGGAGCTTGCCAAACAATATGGAATCAACGGCTTGCCAATCTTACAGGTTCTTGACTCACTCTCATTCCCTATCGCTTTCCCGTATGATTTCATGCATCTGCTCTTTGAAAATGTGATCAAGAACCTTGTTCTTCTCTGGACCGGCAAATACAAGGAGCTTGATGAAGGCAGTGGGGAGTATGAGTTTCCAAAGGGAGTTTGGGAAGCTATTGGTGCGGCCACTGCTGCCTCAGGTTCTGACATTCCTGGCATTTTTGCTGCTCGTCCACCAGATGTTTCGGCAGATAAGATTGCTTTCACTGCAGACACTTGGTCATTTTGGCTTCTCTATATTGGGCCGGTGGTACTTCATAACAGATTTCGAAGACCAATCTATTACAATCATTTCATGAAACTCTCACGTCTAGTTCACCTTTGCCTTCAGTTCGAGTATACCCAGAAAGACATTCAGGATATCCGCCTTGGGTTTTCTAGCTGGGTTGAGGAATATGAAAAGTATAAAATCTCATCATTCTTTTATCACTATGTACATTACATTCTGATTATTTCCTCAGACTGTATTATCAGAACCTGCCCAGTCGTCTCTCCGCATGTCCACTCACCATTCATGGCCTTCTCCATATTGCTGATAGCATTGAGCAAATCGCTCCTGTGTGGGCAAGTTGGGCCTTTCCCACAGAACGTTTCTGTGGCCAGCTTCAACCAGCCATCAAGAGTCGGCGCTATCCCTTTGCAAACATTGACAATTACATCTCTGCTAATGCACAACTTTCGCATATTAAAATACTCTATGGTCTTGAAGATGACCTCAATCTGAAGCGGAAAACCACTCTTGGAACACATTTTGCACATCCAGATTGTGAGTCGTAGTTATCCTGTCTTTTTCTATTGTAATATTTATCTTTATAGATCCTACATGCATACTTCTTCCCCCCCAGAGACCAGCTTCCACTGTCACCCAATTCTGGACAGATAAAATCTGCGTTGCCCTTGCAACCCGCTATAATACCTCCATCCAAACTATCCGCAAATACCTCTCAACTGATAACATAGAAAGATGGGGGAAAGTCCGCCGACTAAATGGTGGAGACAGTATGAATGCTTCAAGTCTAGTCCCAATTGCAGAAGATCGCCGGGATGCTACTTTCATCCGTGTAAGCCAAAGCATTTGTAGCTCAATCATCTGTTGAATCATTTCTAGTATGAGCTTCTTGTTGACAGGAATGCAAGGTCCCGCAAAAAAAGATCGGAATTCACCCTTCAAGCATTCTATGGCCAGCTGCAACATATCTTTGTTGTCACACTTAAATCTACACTGGTCCTTGGAATTGACATAGATACAACCCTCATTTTGGCCGGAATTCAGCGTGCAGAGATGAAGAATTTCTATTCAACTGGTCTTTTCTCCTCAACAAAAATGGGATTGAGCGAAGTCGTGGATATGACCAGTGTACAGTGTCTCATTGGTCGAATCAAAGCTGGAACACATGGTTGGGTAGTATTGGACCGAACAGGAGTTCAACAATGGGCAATGCATGTAACAGACACGTAAAGTAACATCATATATAGGTACAGATGTCAATGCTACGGTTTACGGTTGAAAGCTGATATCTGAGGCAAAGTGCTTTTCACCCGCTAATTGGTGGAAGCAGAATCATCGAAAAAAGCATCCGTGGCGGATTAACCCGCTCTGGACCAAAATGACGAAATTCCGTCGGGACACGGTTGAGTTTCCGCAGGTCCTGGGTCCACAGTGATCAATCAGCTAATATAAGCTCAGCCAAAGCATAAAATGACCCACCCTCTCTGAAAGTTCTTTTATGTTTGAAGGAATAAACACTTTGGCAGCTGATAGACACTTTTCTTCAGTCCAATTCTTCTGGCCATCCATACGTGCAGGAAATGGGTTCTTTGTTCCGATTGAAGATTCCCTGAACCAACTCTTTAAGTAAACCACTTTTCCCTCCTCTGTACAGTTTTCCACAAACTGAATCCCCAACTCGGGACAATGGTAGGCCCACTCATCTTCCATTTCCACTGGAACTGGCTCTATATCATTATAACCAGAAGACTGCGTCAAGTACCTTGCCCCTAGTCTGTTGAAAGTAATACTTTCTCTATATCTTTTAGCAGTGAATGACATAACAGGCTCCCAAATTTTCTTGCTGCGACTCAAATTCAGAGACGTTCTGAAGTTCCAACTTGATTAGTATAGATAGAGGGATAAAAGACATGTGAAGAACCTTTGATGGAAACTATCAAAATAGTGATTGCTGGTTCTTATATCCTGACAGTGCAAGTTAGCAGGAACCTTTTGCTTTTTTTGAATAGTAGATGAATATAGCATAGGCATCTGAAGTGAAATAAGTTTTTGTAGTTTTGATATGGTGGGAACTAGTTGATCAACAACAAAGGAGCTTGATACTAGAGAAACCTCAAGATGGAGAACTATTGGAAAAAAGAACTACTTACAGAGATCCTGCAGCCAATGTATATTGTTACATAAAGCAAACAGGACTGTGCTAGGAAGTCCCTTGGATCAGAATCGTGAAGCTAGCCCCGGCTGGGATGCGATTATCAGCAGTAAGTAAATTGAACCTTCAAAGGAATACCCATTAGATAATTTGCAATTGCTATAACTAAACCTTTACCTGCTGAAGCTAAGCGTCCCCAACGTGAACCTGCATTTAGCCAATTATGCATACTATAATGTGATATACCGGTTCCAGTGACACTAGATAAAGCAGGATATGCACTCGCAATCGGTTTGCCGTTAATGAGCTTGCCTCGTTTTTGTGTGAGAAAGAAAGGAAGGAATCTAATGGGCACTCCAACCAACCAATCTAATACACAATATGCGAGTTCACTGCTATCAAATTTATTTAATAGCAAGGGGTAGCATTGTCAAAGGTTCCGCAAAGCTTTGAGAGCTAGGAAAAAGCTTTGATCAATTAAGTTGAATCGTTCTAAGGATTCAGTATATTCCTTTGATTAAGGTAGATTCAGCACTATTGGTGCTTTGGTTGTATTGATATGGGTATATCAAGAATTGGGGGTTTGAATCAAAGTAAATTTAAACCGAAACACACAGACCCCTACAGAGGGCTAGAACTATGTGCTGGCACAACCACACAGCGTGATTTGCCCTTAAGACCAACGACTGATCCTAAGTTCGAAGAATACCCAACAGCTGGATATAACTTCTTGCAGTCACAAGGAGCAGAACACAATGTTCCTATACTCACAAGTGCCAGGCCCGGATGGCTGCTAGCAAAGAGGTTTCAGTCTGGTGGGAGTGTGTCTTTCCTTTTTATGGATTAGCACTGCAACGTTGTCCCAAAATCACTTGTATTCCAGATACATCGGATCGCTATTTATACATACCAGTACTATTAATGTAATAAAATAAATGTTCGGAACTGCAAGGAAACTTCTACAATAGGTCAGATATCATTTAATTTGAATCTACATGTCCTTATTTGGTCCATAATGGTTCCAAGATTCTAGTATACCTCCAAACATAGGTAGGTACTTCAATATTCATTTAATTTAATTGCTTTGGAGAATGACTCGAATAGTGTTCAGCTGTCATTGCTGTTCAACACTTTGTTCGATCATTTGTCACCTTGTCCAGAGGCAAATCAGCTCTCCTCGATTCTAATCCTATCAATCTAATTCATCTGGATTAAACTAATTGCTTCTCTCTTTCAATAGACACCCATTGTGCCTATACTCTATCAAGGGAGTTACGCATAGTATTCATTTAATAGTATTCTTCAATATTTTCTAAGTCAGGACTCTTTGACATTTATTTGATATGTCTTCGAAGCCTTGCAGTACTTTGATCGTTCTTCTAGTCATTTTCCTCAACCATGCAACCTGATTGGTCTGTTAGACTAAATCGCAGTCTTTTGGATTAATGCATGATCTCATTCTAGAAGGAGTATTTGACAATCCCTGAGTTCTAGAAAGTCATTTTGAGTCAATCCTCAGCTCATGGTCACTTGAGTAAGTTCTTCCAAACTCCTGCCAGTGTAAGGTTCAATAAGAATACCCTTGGTATGTCATATGTGAATGGTCATCCTTCGGATGTAGTCCGAGTCTGGTATAATCCTGCTTGACAAACAGGTAGACCTTTATCCAAAGGTAGTATTGGGTATGGGTAAACTAACCAACTTATGTTAGTATGGGTATATGGTCCCTTCAACTATTAGACTAATTCAGTATTGACTTTGACTGTCAATCTGGGTCTCAATTACAGTCCTCTTGATACAAATCTATGCGTGAAAGTGTCACAATTCACTGCATAGACGTCTAGCCAAAATTTAGGCATGTCACCGTCCTTGGCATTCTCATGTAAAATACTAAAAGTAAGCTACCATTAATAGATGGGGAAAGGCAAAAAATTGTTTCTTACCTGTTTACCTTTGCCGCAAAGAAAAGCTCGTACATCATTTGAATGAAAGTAGAGCCAGTATTGACTTTTTCAGTGTGTCTACACCTTTGAGTGAGATGAAGCAGAGAGTCACTACTCAGGGCCTCAAAAGCTTCCTCCCAGTCCACAGCAGCTACCAAACTCCTAATGTCTTCGGCCCACTTATCGCTTCCCCATCTGACAACCCCAGTCAAATGTAACATCCAGGCCAAAGCTACATCAGTCACTTCTTTAGGTGGAGCATGGGGTGTTTGGCTAGCCTCGTAAAGATATTGGGTTCCATCTGGTGCCTCCTCTTCCTCCTCCTCTTCTACATCCTGCCTATCTGCCTGTGAATCAACCCGCAGCCTCTTTCTTGAAGCTGAGCCTCCATTACGGTTACAATCTGGTCTAGGTTCAACCGGATCAGCATGGGTATTGACAGCACTGTGTCTTTGCCTTGGGATATGCTCCTTGTGATTCACCTGGGAATGACGGCGCTTCCTAGAGCCAGGATCAGAGTTTGAGGTGGCAAAATAAGAATGTAGATGTTGAGTAGAAGAAGTGGTAAAAGCTGAAGCCGGGAGAGCTGAGAAACTGTTCTGGGTTGGAGCAGGTTCATCCTCCAGCAAGGATAGAAGTAACTTATCCAAGTCTGAGTTCTGCTGGCTGTGAATCATATCCTTTTTATGGAAGGTACCACGGTCCTGAAGTAAGTTGTAAAACACGTCGAAGTCAGGGACCTGGTCAGCAATCCAGAGCTCCTCTCTATCTTCATCTGCGTCCTCAGCCTCCCCAGTGTCTACAGCATCTGGGTAGTCACTGTTGTCTTCTGCTGCTTTGTGGAGAGAGTAGTTAGCGGCATCACTGAGATAGTTGCTGTCATCTGCTTCAAAGGTGGAGGAGTTGGAGGGGGGGAGCTCATTCCCACTGAAATTGTCCTTGGGGCAGAAAGAAGGGCTATTGGCGTAGTGGGTATCATCCAGGTCCAGGGAACAAAGGGCATCTGAATCAGAAAATGCATCCCGGCTAGGGGACATGTCATGGAGTAAGTCGCTGTCGACAGGGGGTGAAAGGAGCGAGCGGTGGCTGTTGAGGGGTGAGACCTGACACGAGTTGCCATCATAGCGGTACGTATTGTGGTTGCAGTGGTGGTGGTGGGCGCAGTGCAAATCATAGTTGTGGTCAAGGTTGTGGAGCAAGTCATGGTCGTGGTGGCGGTGCAAGTCATGGGGGTTGTGTAGCGAGTTGCTGTTGTAATGGTCATGAGAGACAAGTAGCAAGTGGCAGTTGCGGTCATGTTCATGATTGCAGTCGCAGGGCAAGTCGCAGTCATGGTCGCGGGGCAGGTTGCAGTCATGGTCATGGTCACAGGACAGGCAGCGGGACAGGTCATGGTCATGGTCATGGTCGCAGTCATGGTTGGGGTCGTGGGTTTGGTGCAAGCCACAGTCATGGTCGTGGGTTTAATGCAAGTTGCGAGCATGGTCTTGGTCGCAGGTTTGGTGCAAGTCCTGGTTGCGGGTTTGGTGCAAGTCATGGTCATGGTTGCAGTTGTGGTTGTGGTGCAAGTCGGGGTGGTAGTTGTGTAACTGGTGGTGTGTGTTGCAGTCGTGGAAGTCACAGTGGTCATGTAGCAAGTCACGGTCCTGGTGTTGGTTGCAGAGCAAGTCATGGGGCAAGTCATGGTCCTTTCGGACCAATACCTGGTGCAAGCTCAGGGGAGGGTCGTGGTTATCCTATGGCAAGAGTTGCAGTCATTGTAGAATGAGATATGGTGAAACCCAGGAAGAACATTAGACGTACCTGTGCAGCCAAGTCAAGATCTACCTGAATCCCTGCTTCACAGGTCATTCTACTTTTGGATGCTAGCCAGGGGGGTTTAGGCCTAGTTCTGATGGAAAGGTACTTGGTAACTCTGGCAGCTTTGGAAGGATGTTCAGGCGAAGGTGAAGGAGTAGGGAAAGAGGGATTTGGAGAGAAGTTGCCTTCCAACTGAATTTGAAGAGAGCCTAACAAAAGCTTCAACTCTTCTGGAAGATTTGATCCCTGAGAGAGAAATAAGGTATGTAGAGCCTGAAGTTGAGTTGTAGAAAAACTAAGGTCAGGCATGTAGTAGTGCCACTGTGGTGGAGGCTCAAAAAGGAAGGTAAGTCCGAAATGCCTATCTTGCCTAATTGAGCATCCAAGGAAATGCAGTAAGCGCCTTGAGGCGCTTAATGACTTAATGTATTCTGGGCTACAAATCACGCTCTTTTTTCCTTTAGAGCCACCTACTTTACAGGAGATTCTAAGAAACTTTGTGGTGTGCCTCAAATTGAAGTTACCTTCAATTTTGACAATCCATCTGGGCCATCAGGCTCTGTAGGCTTTCTTTCTCCCCATCTTATGTTATTTCTGCAGTATATACATATATAAAGTAGCTACAGAATATCATTCAAGCTATAGCTATAAAAAATGTCAATAGCAAAAAAGTAGAACAAAAAAGTAGACATACTCGAAGCAGAAATAGGAGTGCTTGGGTAAATTCTGTAAATATCCTCCACTGAAGCTACTGCATAGTCTAAAATTTGTTGCATTCCAGGGAAATTATTCTTCTTTTTCAACCATTTTAGCATTCGATTCTTGCAAAAAGGATTTACTAAGGGAAAATCGGTGCTCTGTAGAATATCAAGAAGCTCCTTGTAGGTAAGAGGCTTCTTGAAGTCCAAAAGACAGGAGGTGATCTTTTCTTTCCACACAGAGTGCCAGGATTCGATGCAGGCTGCATGCTCAGAGCAAGCTTCAGAGGAAGGCAGACCTTGTTCTTTATCAACCAAAAAAAGAGGAAACGTTGCTTGGGATATTTCCATAAGTAAAGTGCATATAGCCTCTCTGGTCCTAGCAATGGTAGGATAGGCAACAAGAATCTGCCTTTCCTCATCTTGTGTGATTTCACCTAGTGGCCTCTGAATGAGAGCTTTTACAGCAGGACCAAGCCAACGATGAACATCAGGAATATGATGAAAATCGCCAACTAGCTCTAACATTCTGGCAGGAGGTGTTCCAAGACTTTCCAAACCATGAACAGCATAGGAAATTCCATCCTCAGCCTTCAAAGTAAAAGCCACCTCTAGAAGGTCCACTAGACTTTCTTCTGTCAATTGAAAAGGACACCACTCTCTGTAGTTATTATACTTGTGAGGACATATTATTCAGCATTGAAAAATATTCACCTATCATAAATCCAGTGCAGAAAATTGCTAAATTCCTGAGTCAAAAAGGGTAAGATTATAGGATCCATTTCTGTTCCTTTGATCCTATTCAAGTTAAGTTCTTCAATGAAAAAGTTGACCAAGATGGGAGCATGAAGCTTGAGAGAAGACAAGTTCATTTTGTATTGGGAATGTGTGATTCTGCCTCTCTAAGATAAATATGTTAAATATTTTATGAGCCACCTGTAGGGAAACCATACATTGTCCATTTCTTTAGTTTCAAGAACCACTATCCTATCTTCATGATAAAACTCTACTATTTTAGTGTAGCTTGGGTCATCTGGATCTACAGACTTTTGACATCTGCTTTGGGCTTCAAATTAGCCTTGGGCTCTGGCTCCAGCTTGGGTTTGTCTGTCATTTGCGTTAAGTGCTCAGTAGCTGAGTGAGGGCAGAGTGACATTCAGTCACAGTCACAGGCATTCCTTCCTTACCCACCTTCCATGTCCTTCTTTCTCCATGCCACATAAACATTCTTGTCCAAATATGCCTCCTGAAGATCCAGTTCAGACAATATCCACCTGTATATCCACACAGACAACCCTCACTATCTCAGATAGAGGTCAGGAAAATGCGGGTCTCCTTGCTATTCAAGTTTTCTATGACCCATCTGACATCCCATCCAGTAAGTTTCTGTTACTCTGCATTGATTTATTGCTCAAAGTCCTTCCATGAACTGTTGTTACTCAGATATCAAGGTTGAGGAAATGTGGTGTAGTTTCATTTCACTGTCTTCATCCTCATCGACAGAGACTGTAAGCACCTAGCTCTACTATCCATTTTCCTACATTTATATTAGCTATATAGCAATGAAACAGTCACTATGTCAATAAATTTTGCTCGCAGGCTGAAGTATTGGTTTGTAGAACTCATATATATATTGATAAAAAGGCATACCAATGTTAGGCATCACACTTGCTAGGTATACTCTTTCTCGTACTCTCTCTCTTGTATTCATGGTCTTTCTTAGACTCTGTCTCATACTCTTGCTCATACTCATTCTCGTATGTGGCTGCTGTTGTCCTACTGTAACCAGCTGTTCTGAGACAGCCCTGTCTCTCAAGATGGTGCCTTGTATCAATCTATCAATTTATCTAGGTAGAAAAATGTCTTTTTGTAGGACAGTTACAACTATGAGTTTTCTGCTACATCTTATGAGTTTTCTGTTTCTGCTGTGTCTTGTAATTTTTCTGCTACATTGAGTTTTCTGCTAGGAGGTGTAATTTTTCTGCTACATCTTATGAGTTTTCTGCTGTGAGGGATGAATTTTCTGCTATCCAAAGTATATTTTCTGTTGGCAGTATAAGTTTCTTGCTGAGCTTATAAATTCCAGGTAAGGTAAAAAAAGTTCTGCTAAGCCATAAAATTCCTGCTGAATTTTTTGCCACTTGGACTAGCATATCAGTGATGCTGAGACTGGACAGTACATTGTATTTGGAGGAAACACACAGAACTACACAGTGATTCCATCTGAATGACACTTCAGTGGGTCTTCATAACATAATACAGTTGTATTTCCAAGTAATAAAGCTTTAATACTAAAACCCACACTTGTGTTTAACTTGGACTATAACAATATCTGCAAAATTAAAGTGTTCCGAGCTTCATCTTTGTATGGCATTGCAATAGAGCTGAATGATTAGATTGAAAGATAATAATAATATTTTGGACCTCTGGAGTTAATTCCAAGAATATCACACCTCATATGCCCAGTAAATGAAGATAATAGCCTTTGCCAAAGGGAAGGGGGGTGGCAAAGGCTGTTGTCATGAAGATCCACTATCAGCCCCTAGTGCAATAAAAGCTGGATAATTCCAGTCAACTTTGTATAATTCAGATCCTTTGGAACAGTATTCCCATACACCCGAGTAGCTGGAGGACCGCCTCCTGTACATACATGATACATCCGTGCACCTCCCATATTTTCTTGGGTGTTCAAATCTGTACTCATATGTGCTTCCCATCTACCACTCATTACAAGCAACATACAGTATATACATTATAGGGGTACACAAGGTCAATATACATCATATATACAGTATACACTAGGTAGTGTCCATTGATATATGCATCACAGTGGTTAGTTTACTGAGCACCTCATCTTTGTCATTGGGATCTTCGTTGAGTGGCAAAGCATCTTTATCATCGTCGCGATCATTCACATTGTTGACGTTAGCATTGATTGTTATTGCGGCTTCAATCACTGTATACAACACACCCTGTCCTGGAAGGAATGTGCCCAAAAAGCCTGGTATCTTTCCCAACTTCTTCAGCCTCATGAGATGAAGATTGTTATGAGGCTGAATAAAATGAAGACTCGTCTTTATGTATGTCACTTCATGCCAATTTGAAGCGCCGTACTTCCTTTTTAGGACACCTTTTTTGCCTATATATGTGTCATGCCCTGGCTACAACCAGACCAGTCCCAGTACCCGCCACACATTGTCATACATCCTATCCACCTCCTGTACCTCCTCTGCACCTCCCCAAGTACCACCAGGCACCTCCCCTAGTATTTCTGACACAACTACCCAAACGTCCTTCACCCCGACACGCATACGGAAACCTTCCTAACTGACAACCCCTTTAAGTATTAATCTCGATTACCTCCCTCCCTCGATTAGCTGCCTCATGTCTCCAGATGTTCTCTTGTTCACTTCCCGTACCTATTTAAGTAGCGCCGTAATGTCCTGAAGCCCCAGCTTGGTATATTTTGAACACACACCCTTTTGCATAGGTCCAGTCCCTGTCCCTTTGTACCTGCTAACCATACGGATTTCTCTTTACTCTCTGTTTCTCTACCTCTGTTTCTCTTTACTCTCGTCTACTCTCTCTCTGATCGTCTATACGATCAAATATACGCTTTTACTTCAAGTCTAAGCCATCCGAGTGAGTCTCCGAGCTCCCTCGAACATTACTAAAGCTCCCCAATGCCTAAACACTTTGGTGAGCTACCCTTCCCCAGACCTCCCAGAGCTTCCTAGCCACTTTGTAAGCTTCGGGACCTCGATCTAAGTAACGTCGAAGCTACCCCTCACGTCAAACCACGTATTGCTTCTCCGTTACCACCTCCAACACTCGAGGACATCCTTCCTCAAGCCCAGTCCCCGGGAACCTACCTTCCTGGGCGTATACCTTCTTGGAAGCTTACCACCTCGAGACCCATTTCCATCTACGACCTATTCGAACCCTATATTGATGTTCTAGGACCTCCCTGGACCTCCTAGGAACCCCCTCAAGGGTCACCATCTCTTCGTCCCATCCACTACTAGGTCATTCCTGTCCTCGGTCGCAGTTCCTGTAGCTCCCTTCGAGCTCCAGCCTGCTCCTAGCATGCTACAACATAAACCTTCATATACCAAACCCTACCCTAAGACCTATTCTGACCCAGGTCTTACATTATACCAAGCTCTCCCGTCACCGAACGGACTCGTTGCGGTGAAATGTCTGCGACGTCAATGGAATGACCTTCTAGTTCCAAGACCGAATCAAAGAAACAAAAGAGCGCCTTATCTCGTGGAAACACGACACAAGCTCAAAAGTCGAACCAGGCTGCTAGTTCCACTGTCATCACGGTGGCAGCTGGTCAATGCCTGATGTCCATCCCAGAACAGTTGTTTGGGGATGAAACCGCTAGCAACATCCGGACCCCTGAGGGACGTCAACCGGCAGTTCAGGAGCCCCCTCCAGTGGAACCTGGGATGGGACCACCACAACGGAGGTATACCTCCATGGGTTATGCCCAACCTGCCAGTAGTCCCATGGGAGGTTTCACCTACTCCCCTACCTGGGGAACGAGAGGACCTCCCCCTGGACCGGTACCGCAGCTAGACATGGAGTCAGCTTCGAACGCGGGTGGAAGAGTCAGCGGCCAAGTAGCCACTATTGAAAGGATACAAGGGGAGAATACGGATCCTCTTACAATAAGACAACAGGAGAAACTTCCGGAGAGGAGGGTATCACCTGCAGTCTCTGAACAGTCTCGAACGTCATCCAGGAGGCTACCGACTCCTCCCGTACAGTCCCTTAACCCTCCTCCCCCGAGACGAGGAGTTTCACTCTCCGGCCTCTTGAAGAGTCAAGCTATGAATACGCCTAACTGGGAGCGTACTCACGCACTCCATCATAGTAGGACCAACTTCCCAGTGCAACCGTTGTCTGAAATGACACTGCATCTGGAAGATGTCATTCGAATTCAGGAGTGTATCCTGGAGGACGTAGCTATGGTCTTAAGGGAGGTATTGGAGTCGATGGGGATTGAAATATTGGGAGACGGTCTCAAATTCTCAGACCTACGAGTACAGTTCCTAACGGTGGGAACTCAACTGGAAATAGACCTCCCAGAGAAGGCCCAGCGGTGGCTGATGACCCCAGCAAATCGATCAGACTTTCTCTGGTTGTATAACGTCCTACTGGATCCCGAGCGGATGTTAGAATTGCTAGAGGCAGAGGCTCGTTACGGACGATCATTCCGAAATGCGAGGGGAATACTTCCCCTCCTCCCTCATACCCATGGAAACGAGAAGGATTTCTGTGGCGAAGTGGGTCTGCATATATTGTACCGAGCATCTAACTACAGATCGGGAGCAGTATGATTTGAACCTCCCCCTTCGAGGGTTAATATCCCAAACTATCAGGCTATCCAAATACTTCGGAACGCAAACCTAGCGGCGGCGGCAGCTAAAATCGATGAGGAAAGTAACGAGGATGCTAACACAATCGCTGCAAAAAATCGTAGACACAGGAGATACACCACGGCTCACCTCCTGGCCCCAGTGGAGTCAATGCCTGATCAGGATAGTCCTGTCCAGGTCCGTAGCGGACAGACGGTGTACACGTACACGCCCATGAGGCATATGCACCAGCTCCTGGTGAGGAGTGAGGAGTCTGAAGCGATGTTGTGCTCTCAGGAGACCCGACACCGGATGTTACTAGTGGAATCAGACACTCTGATGCTGTCGGAAGAATTTTCTGGATCAAATCTAGAAAGGGCCTTGGAATTCCGTCGCAGACTGGTCGCGGATAATCG